TGTTTGCCAAAACACTTACGATTTGTTAAACATTTAAATGTCGCATTCTACTTATCACCCATTGTGATATTGTATTGTATGTTGAAATAAATAAATACCGAAAAAAAACTGTAACCGATCTTGAAAAATTGAACTCATTGTCGAAACATTAAAATAGGGCAGAAGTGACTTTTATAACTAAGGGAAAAGGACTGAGACATCATCATTAATCATAGTCATGGTTTAGGTATGCAATGAACGTTTTTTATTTTTTTGCAGATGCGCATATTTTTATTTTGCAATCATTTAAAAATCGTTATATTGTATTTATAATGCTTAGGCAACCTTGTTTTCTAGGAATGGATATAGAACAATCGAAAAAAATATACCGAAAAAAGTTTATATTTTATACTTTTTATTAAAAATACTAGTGGAGAAAATTTGTAAAGGAATCAGATTTTGTCCTGAAGAAACTTTGTATCTGCAAATTATATCAAATTAACAGCAAATAATATAATCAAATAATCAACAGTAACAAGTATCATCATTAGATTAATCATAACTTTCAACCTGAAAAAAAATCTTTCTGTAGTATATTTTTGACATTATTGAAATGATTGTTGAAATTTTTAATTTTTACAGTTTTCATTTTACACAACAATTTAAACAATTTTTACAAACAAATTTTATCGACAAGTTTACAAATATATTTTATCGAGATAATTTGATCGACTATACAAATATCATGTTTTTTGAAATTTATCTGGAAAAGAGTAAATTAAGTACATAAATATGTTTAAATTATAAATTATTTAAATTATTGTAAGTTTAAATAAATAAACCACATTTGTATATAGTTTTTAAAAAAAAGTAGTAGTATTGTGCATAATAATTCTTCTAATTTTCTAATACAATAAATTGTGATAAATGAGGCCAAAGGTTAATCTAGAAAGATGAATTTACATGTTACTACAGCAAAAACTTTTATATAAATTTAATATTTTAGCATGTAGCAAAGAACAAAGAAAGATAGTCATTTTAAAAAAAATCTGATAAAATTTAAGAAATAATTCAGGAAAGTGCTGTTTTTTAAATAAATGCTTTAATAATTTACAAAAAAATGATACTAAAACTTATTTTCTTATTAATTTATTATCTTGGCATCTGGATATACTAAATCTTGAACTGAAATAAAATAAAAAAAAAACTTGAACATAAATCATATAAATAAAATAAATCTTATAGTGAATTGACAAACCTCAACAATTATTTGTAGTTAAAAATGCTTCATTTTTTTAATAAATGTCAACTACAGCAAACTATATGAATAAAAACTAAAAAAAATAATTTTAATAATTTTAATATAAAAAAATTGAAAAAAACCTTATAATTATTTAAATAATTATGGTAACTTTATTTCATATTGATCAGAAAAGTTAAGTCCTGCAATAGAATTCACAAAATTAATTATTTGTAGTTAATTAAAAAAAATGAATAAGAGAAAAAAATTTAATTATTACATTATAACATACACTATAACATAAACTTAACTTAAATAAGTTTGAAAATTTAAATAAATAAAATAAATTTGCCATCTTGAATTGACCATCAAAGAAAAGTCCTGCAGTTAGACATCAAACCTCATTATTTAGTTGGAGTTATTTAAAAAAAAATGCTTAAAAAATAAAAAAAAACAGTTTATTTTATAAAACACTACTACAACATAAATTAGAGCTTTAATGAACTTGTATAGTCAAATAAATAAACTAATCTCCTATGTTATAATATATCAATCATGAAAGACTTTTGCTCGCTAATAAATTTCAGTTATCAAGAAGATTTCTTATGTTTTTCAGTTTTGATTTAGCAAATTATATAAAAATTATTCTAAATTAATAAATGAATACATATTAATTTATACAGTAGCAACATCTTGTGAACAAACTATCATATCGTGATTTGTTGACCAATTTTTTTTTTTTTTTTTGAAAATGGGATCTTTGTTGTGGTCTACTTTCAGAATGGATTGGAGTCAAAAATGATAAAACCTACATTATTTTATGACACCAAGAAACTTTATATTAATCTGATATTCTCGTATAAAATAAACTAGAAATATTTGATGCAAACAGTTTTAGCTAAAAAAAAATTTTGTATTAAAAATAATTCACAATTCCCATTACCCCGCTAATTAACTCCAAAAGCGGTACTCGCAAAATTCTCCTGAATCCCAGCAGATGAGTATCTTGATCAAAAACGTGTTTTTGAGTTAAATCGAATCAGATATATTTATAATATATTTCGTTTTATGTCATTTTGGTAAACACTCCCCGCAGAGTCGTTCGCTTTTATTATAATTAACTGCAACCATATTCTTTGCAGTTAATTGGTATTCGCAAATTCGAACGAGCATATGGGTTGTAAATTGTTATAAATATTAGTATACCAACTTGTTAAGGTGTCAGGAAAAGGATCAAAGATTGTAAATTTGAATTTTTCAGTCGTACAGGCCATTGACATATTCCGATTTTGATTTTTTTGTTTTTTGTTGGATATGGATTTTCTCACGAAACTACTCTTGTAATTTTGGATATTCAACTGTGGATGTGTTTCTTCTTGTATTTAGTTCAAGGAATGAGGTTTTCATGAACTAAAAAAAATTAAATTAAATTCGCAAATTATAATACTATAATTATAAATATCATTGCAACTTGACTTTGTAAATTAATAATTAAAAATTTAGAATTTAATCCATCCATATTAGATCATCATCTTTTTAACATGCAATGTATGATGCATTTTCCAGTCGATTGAAAGATTGAAATTATGTAGCAAATTTTGATTACAATATGGTTGCTCTTGTTTTATTCAACATTTGAAAACATTTAATTTGAAGTTTATATAAAAAGTTTTCGTAATTTATCATGTGTATATTACTAACAATTAAGTATGAATTTAAATTTATTGCTAATAAGTAAATTGTTTCAACTAAAGACAATTAAATAGAGATTTGTTATCATACTAAAATGATAATTAAACTTTAACGTTATAATAAATAAAAATAGAAAATTTCTTAAAATTTTGAACATTTTATAATTTAATCCATATTGAATATTCGACTTTCCAAATTTCAAGATTTTTCGCATTTTCTTCTGAAATGCGAAAATTGATTGTTGTGTATTATTAAGTTTTGTTCAAGATTTCAGAAAATCTTATTTATAATAAACGTATGAAGTATATAAATAGGGGGTTTATAAGAAATTTTTTGTTCTAGAATACTCGTATATAAAATTTGTGAGAGGCAAATATACGAATTTTAACAAAATTCTTATGAATTTAATATCAATTCAAGAATAACCTAATATTTCCTAAAAACCTTTGTTACTAAATAGAAGTTCTACAGTAATCAATTTAGAACAAGTTTTATGTCTCATATATCTCATATGTCTATATTGATTATTTGGAAAATATAAAATAATTTGAAAAAACTAGTGGTGCAGGGCATCGTGCCTTAAGGTAAATTACTAGAACTTTCCAAGAATTAAATATTTTGAAAAAGTCTTGGATTTTTTTTTAAATCTTTGAAAAACCATCGACGAAAATTAGTATCCGCACACACAAACACGCGCGCGTGCATCAATATTTTCCAAATTATGCCAAAATGTTCAGAAATGTTATAACGTAAAGATATATAAAAATTTTCATTTTTTTGCGATTACTATAACTTACCCTATGGAAAGTTAATAAATACACTTTAGCGCAAAAATTTTACATTGTAGTTGAAATATTTGATATAAATGTGATTTATAATTTATTCTACAGGTATGAGTAGGCAAGTGTTTAGATAAACAAACATGCCATGACTAGAATAAATCTAATAGCAAATCTTCATGTATGCAATTATGTCACTAATGCTTGGTATTTGTTAACACTGAAAATGAAAAAAAGTTCTTTAAAAAAACAATTTGGTAATTTCGGTGCAGCGACCGCGTTGAGTACAACAAATCAAAAACCCGCCGTCATAAATTCAATTTGAAATGAAAAGAAAAAAGCGCAAAATTAGAGCAGAGGCACCAAGCTTCAAAAAATAATTGCTCGGAGCGGTGATTTTAGTTAATTCATGTTGTTACATGGTACCAACATGTTGATGAATCTCGCGTATGGTTTTGTTTTTATTTAGCGATTTATACGAACGCGCGTTCTTGAGTTTTTTCTTATTTTTGGGCCTCTGATATGTTTTTATCGCGGGCTCATAAAGATGCCAAAACACTTTAATTTTCACGCCCATATAAGGACGTATTTGCTCAGACATCTTGGCGATCGATTTCGTGCAGGAAGTTTTTTCATTGATTTATTGACAGAACTAAGCGAATTATTGCTACCCGCTGCGACATGCTATCAGCGCCCAACGGAACCGAATTTTTGAATTATTATTTTTTTATATTCTCTGCCGGTCGATTAAGGCCGTAAATTGGGAAACAGAATTATGAGCCTTTATTTCGAACAATTTGTAATAAAAAGAATCATCAAAGGAAAAGTCCTGCAAGACAAAAATCGCGGAACAATTGACATTCTCAAAAAGTTTTTGTTTTTATCTAAGAAAAATCTCAAATAATTTTATAGCAATGCAAAGTCCTATCAACACAATTGAATCTTGTATAAAATTTACGTAAATTAAATAACTTGCACCTTATATGGATTATATGTGTCACGCCAATGGCGTTTTTGTGGTTCACAAGGAGAACATCAGGTTTACTCTACTGTGATTTTCATAAAAATTTTCCTAATAGTTAATTTGATTATTAAAATTAAGCCTTTAAAATATTAAAGGCCTGTGAAGGGCTATTTAATCATAAAAATTGATTCAAGTTTAGAAAAATAGGCTGCGCGCCCTTTACGTCTTTGATTTTCAGTTATTTGTTTATAGTTTATAAATTATAAAAATCCCAAAATAATTTTCATACTTCTATTGAGTAAATTATAATTAATTTAGTATACATAATTTAACTAAAATTTCATACCTTGTTATATTGAACATTTTCTTTTGGAGCATTAGATCTTAGCTGAGGTCCGTCTTCTTGCACTGCACAAATCTGAAATATAAAAAAAAGATTCAGTTTAATAAAATTTAATATCGGTATGTATTATTATTAAAGTTAGATGACAATAACAATTACTGTTATAGATACTATTTCATCGTACATCGAGGGACTACTGTGTTATGTAACTAAAGATAAGATTCACAAAACAATTGTACAAAAATAAATGCAATCCAAAAATTACCTAGGTTTATAAATTATGGTTTAATTATACAAATATAAATCAAAACAATAATTAACCAGGTTCACGGTTATATAAATTAAATCAATAATAAACTAGGTTCATAGATTACAGATAATTATACAAAAATAAATGAAATAAACAATCAACTAGAATTACGGATTACTATTTATTCGTACAAAGATACATAGAATAAATAATTAAGTTTACGAAGCCCATTAATTTGACGGAATTTAAATTTTGAAAGTGAAACGCTAAATAACCCATAGCACTAATCTTTACTAATTTTAGTAATGCTAAAAACATAAATTTGCAATGTAATTAATAGATTTTGTATATACGATTATAATTTAGATAAACTTTCTAAATTTAACCCTCCGTCGGGCGCAGCCGATCTGACAGATACAGGGCCAACATTTTAGCATGTTTCTCCATAATTTGATGTCATCGAGATCTCCATATCTCAGTAGCCTCGTTATTTTATGTCTACTATTTATTCGTCTATATAAGATTGTCTTTGAACTTCGCATATTTTGCTAGTAGCAATTTTGTTAAAAAAAACGCACTAAGCCAAAGTCTTTTTGACGTACAAAATGACAAAAAACACTAAGTTTTTACTGTCCTAATTGTTTATATAGTCTTTGTATAAACATTCCAACAGAATCGGACAATTGTTTTTATATAATTTATTAAATTATTCATTTCAGAAAAAGTAAGGTTTGCGCGTCTAGCATTTTGAGCGCATGTACGGATTTTTATATTTTGCTATATTATAAAAATAATATTGATCTAATATATATTTTGTTTTTGTTTACACATAATATACATATTCAGCATTGTAAAAGCGCAAATTAAATAAAAATATATAAAACTATAAGCCTTCTGTCAATATATTTATAATCTGTATCTGTCCGATACACTGCGCCCGATTCTGTACATACTTGGACTGCGCCCGACGGAGGGTTAAAAATGCATATGGGGTATTTCAATTTCTCTTTACGAAAACCCGTTAAATTCACGGGGTAACTAATTTGGCAAACCATAATTATATATTTGCTTCATTTATAATATTATGCCTTTAACTAATAAATATAATAGTAGCAAAAAATCTAAAATTTATTATATTATGTTGTTTTGTATTCGATCAAATAGGTAACAAAAAAAATCATTTTGTCACTCAAAACTCGAAGATTCTGATCAGTAAACGTGAACAACAAAATTTCCAAATAAATTGCCAAAACGTGTTATAAAAATATATAATGTAAATAGATATTAAATATATATGCATTATTATACTGTTCAACTCAACCTAGGCAATAAACCAATAGATTTTTCTAAAGAAAAACCGCATTGGCAAAATTTTGCAGGTCCCCGTATGGACAGACGTAACCCAAAACTCCCGTAAACCGAGTGTTACAAAAACAATTTCAATAAAATTAAATATTCACTATCTGAATGTTATATAATCACCCAGCAACACAATTAATTAAACACGACGACAAAATGCAATACTCACTTATCTATTCATGAAGAATCCAAATACAAGCGTTAATTTCACTAACAAGATCGAATTTTTACATATATTTTATTAAAACTGACCCGATTCCTTGGACATACCGACACCGTGCGACCCGGTGCTTCGGCGCCGGGTCGACACGCCATCTTATGCCTGCTAGAAGCAGGGACAGAATGAACTAGATATTACGAAAATCGTCTTAACCTCGACTTTCATAGATCGATGACGCCACATTGCAAAGAAAAGAACTTCGGTTGGTAAACAAACCATTTGAAGTTGTCAGTTGATATAGTAGGTAAGGTACAACAATTGCCCTCTGATGGTGCATTTGATTTTAGTTCATATACATAATATTTTTTGATAATACTTTGGTAACTGACAGGACGGTATCTTGTAAACCACTAGCAAGGGCGCGCAAATGATCGGTCAGCGTTTTCATAAGTGAATATTATGTAAATATCATAATATTATTAAGAACTAGCTGTACCTGCGAATACGTTCACATGAAGAGTTAAATAAAAGTGGAAAGTTCTTGCATTTTTATGTTAACGGATAATTATTTCTAGTTTTTTGCAGTATTTATACTATAATTTATTTCATAGGCTTTTTTGGTATTTCTCATGCTTTTAAAAATAATTGACATTTGAAAATAAACTGGTGGTGCATTATGCTGTAAGGCAGATTTGTTTGAATCATAGATGAATTTCCATTGATTATTTTTATTCCTCGAATGTTTAATTACAGTTCGGAAAGTTCCAGCAATTTTCTTAAAGACTACCAGTTTAATTTTTAATCTCTGTTAAATAAATAAAACTCATCATCCGACACGCAAAAAAATCAGGATGAATTACTTCTCTTAATTGCGACACCGAAACGAACTTGGCCCGTGTGATTTAGTGTTCGAATTGTCGCATTTTGAAATGGTTCAGCTGTCGGCGTTTTTGAAATTAACGATGTCATCATATAATAATGTAAGCTAACTGCATGGAAATAATAAAGTATAAAATCGATCTCGTCGATCTTAATACGAGAGATGACAAGAAAATTACGCGCCGAGTTATGGCCAAACATTGCAACGAGACACCATCAGAAATGGAGTGGCTATTGGGACAGAGGAAAGTAACTTTTTTGGCCAAAGATTGAAATTTCAGTTATATGAATATTTAGACTAATTTATACTTTATAATAAAATTCATAGAAACTAGAATCATGCTGCATTTTCCTATGTGCTGCTTCATATAAACAAGGCGTTTCTTGAGATAATCGACATAAATTCGATCAGAAATTAGGTACTCAAGCAAGACTAGCAAGAAATCAAATTAGATCAATTTCATATCATTTTTTTTAAATCCTAATGATTGGATTTAAGTCTACCAATAAATTAAGAACTATTTTCAACATTTTCCATGTAGTTTTATGTACTTCTTAGCAATTAATTTAATGTGTTTTGTAGATAGATCAAAAAGGTAGTAAATAAAATAGGCATTGGGTATTATTTTTGGTTTTTGAAATACTGAAATAAATTTTACGCCTTACGATGCATTATTGAAAAGTCTAAGTTTTATCTGTTTAATTTTTTCATTGACACATTTTTACAAGTTTTTGAAGAAATAAATAAATTTAACAAAGTTTGTTATTCCTGTCCTGATCCGTTTAGCCCGTGGCCCAAAGTTTTGTTATGAATTCTCCAAAATCATTATGATAAAATTATTTTTATCGTTTCGTCGACACTTATTGCTGCTATAAGATGAACTTGATTATCAGCCAACTCCATCAAAAGAAATTAAAAATGTTATAAAAACCATAAAATTTAAAAGGTGCACTTGAAAGGTGAATGCATATTAATACCTGTTACATATAGCAATTTTAAGAAAATTAGTCCAATGATATTAAATATTTTTCAGAAACAATACAGTAGTTGTGGCAAATAACTACTGTGCAAAAAGTACAAATCTCTTAGAAAATTTATATTTCTAACAACAAAGAATCAATTGCTTTAATTAAACAGCAGTAAAGATATAAGTAAACACTATTAAATATTTTGTGCATATGAAAATATCTGCTAAAAACTTAATATATTGTTATCCATATTTGAATTTTGAGATTTGTGTAATTTATGTCGATGCTATTTATCATTTATTATTATTACTAGATTATTTTACCAATATATTAATAATAGTGCTAGTAAAGTGTGCATGTAATTTTAGACTATTTTACAATTACCACACTTTAAAAACCGTTTTACCTTGATCTGAATCAAGTATTTTTAAATCTATATATAACTTTCTATATTTCTTTAATTCTATGTATAACTTTGACAAATTTTAATTTTTTTCTTTTTGAGCAAGCTGTTCTCCCTCGAGAGACATTTAGCAAAAGCATCATTAATAATCTTATTCAAAACGTTTTTGACAAGTTAAAAAGTATATATTGAAGCATCCACTGAATATAATGTGTAGCATAAAAACTAGACTTCAGCAAAAAGTAAGGATAAAATACGGTTCTCAGGACGATTATAAATATCATCCGTCAATTTATTGTAGAACTCAAAAAGGATTAACGAGTTTTGTTTTCAAATATTGATCGTTTATGTTGTAAATTTTATCATTAGAATAGTTCATATAATATGATTCTGCTTCCTAAATTTGTCTCCAAAATTTGATTCAATTGTACTTATAATTAGAATTAGTTCGGTCAGAATTTCGATACTATTATTGCTTTGAAAAGCTAACGATGACATATTAATATATAACATGACTACTAATTTAAATTTATTAACAACTACTAATAAAAAGTAAGCTATCTTTTAAAAAGTAACCTAAAGTAAAATTCGAATTATTTTCAATATTCAACAAAAAATTGTAAATAAAAAAAAAATCCTCAAAATTATTAGTTTCCTGAAGTTGTTCTGAAACATTCAAATCGTCTGCTTAGTTCTCTCAAAAACTGCAATTTTTTGCACATTTAGCTCGGTATCTCCGAAACGGCTGGACCTACTTTTGCCAAAACCAAATCACCACTTCTCCCCGTCATTACAAATTGAATGATTTTCAGATCAGGTAAGGATAATACTTAATACAATATCATACATCTCTTGTCTTAGATTGCACAGGCAACCAAGATGAAATATGCTTATATAAATAACATGGTACAATCATGTACAACTCGATAATTATCTTCCACAATTTAGACTCCTGACCAGGCCAAATAAAGACAATTATTTTCTAATAAAATCAGTCAGTAAAGAATATTTAGTTAATAGTAAATTGCTTCGAATTGGCAAAATGCAATTTTGGAATTTAAGGATAATTTCTAAAACGACATCAGATATAATACTTCAGTCTAAGGTCGCAGAGTCAACAAAGATAAATTATTATGCAACTACATTTTTAGCATCCAAAATTTAGAGTCTTAACCAGACCCAAAAAGTCAATTATATATTTCCAAAAACAGAGCTCTCTGAAGTTTAGAAACTTAACCAGACCCAAAAAGTCAGTTATAATTCTCCAAAAGCAGAAGCTCTCTGAAGTTTAGAGTTTTAACCAGACCCAAAAATTCAATTATTCTGCTTCAGTCAGTAAGTTGGCAGTCAGTTAATATTGTTCCGAATCGGAACTCATTAGAATATTCGACACGGCTTGACGAGTCCTCTCGTCCTCTCTTACTCTCGAGTGGAGTGTTTGTTTGATTTGGCGCGTACGCGTACCTTTTCATGGTAAACCTTTCAGAAAGAACAGTCGTCAGCCAGATAACCCGTTTGTAATGATCTGAGAGCACGATTCGTCACGGTCATTATAAATCATAGTGACGTGACACTCGAATAAGGTGACAACGATTTTTTTCTTTTTTGGTCGACCAAGGGGTGCAGCTCGTTATTAAAAAATAAAAATATAAAGTCGGTTAATGGTTAATTATAATGATTGTGGATGGGTATGGAATTTGAAATCAGAGCGAGGAAAGAATTCAGATACTAGAGCTGTCTGGTTTACATATGGTACAGCTCAATAATTACAAATTAGTAATTATATTTTTTTTAGTTATATTGTAAATAGCACACTTTGAATTAATTCCAACAACTGAAAATGATACACGTTGCACATTAGCTCGACAACCGGAACAATTTTTGTTGAATTTTTAATGAGTCAATGGTCCAAAACTAGGTGTAAGTCCCTTAAGGCAAATTGCAAAAATTTTCCGATATATAATAATAATAATAAATTTTATCAATAAAAATTGAAATTTAAAACATAGATGATAACATAGCGTTATTATGGCAATTCTGTATTAGGCTACTTTCTTGGTACTAAAATCCAGGAAAATGATATCAATTTGCTATCCGATCAGGAGTATTTCACATATAAACAAACCTAGAAAGAATGTTACGAAAACTGTATCTTTATGATGCGCATTTATAACATACAGTTTTATGTGTAAAACGCCTGATCGCGCAGCAAATGAATAGCAATTTCATAGTTTTTAGTACCAAGAAAGAATGATAAGATAGCGTTGCCATAACAATGCTATGTTATCGTCTATGTTACCGTAGAATTGGTCCCTTAGCAACATTTAAAATTACGATAATAAAATTTTGAAATTTTCAAACGGCTCATTATTATTAATTTTTAATTCAACCACTTTTAGTAGACTAAAGTAATTTAAGATGTTCGTTAAAACTACGAAGTATAATCAAAATTACCAAAAAAATCAAGACATAAATGCGATTTTTTTTCCTTATGAAGTTTTTTTACCATTGTGATGAAAAATTAATTTTATAATATTCATAAATAATGATAACAATATTAGTTATATTTGAGTGAATCGCTATACTTAACACTTATTTCAATTGAAGCAGATACATTTTAAATAATAAAACTAGACATTCTATATGTTTTAGGCAAAACAACTAATTGACTATAATATAAATTGAAAGGTGCCGAAAAAATTCAATTATGATAACCTAAGTAAATAAAATCTTAAAACATTAAATAATTAACATTTATTTCTTTAGGTAACAAAAATTTAATTAACCTAAAATTATAAACTTAAAAAAACATGAAGTTTTGACTTGTGTGCAAAAATACCTTATACATATATAAAGATTTTATAGAAAACTGCTCATTTGATACAAATAATAATTA